CGTCCTGTCAACAGTCTACCTCATTTAATACGTGAGTGATGCATCTATTTCTCTTACCCCCCTCACTAGAACGTAAGCTCCTTGAGGGCAGGGACTCTGTCTTGATCACCGTCTCAGCACCTCAGTGCTTAGCACAGAGTTGGCATTCAGCATACATGGGTGAAATATTTGGTTGGTGTAATGTCCTACTTCCGACTTTCTCTTCTGTCTTTCATGCCTCCTCCTAAACTCAATTGCTAGACTGATCTTTTAAAAACAAAAATCTGACCATGTTACTCCTCTACTTAAAACCCATAATTGCCCATTGCAACACTTAAGTAACGCTTTGGCAGAGTGAGTCCTACAATAACTGGTCTGTTGTATTTCCATTTCATTCAGTTCAAAATGCTCTCTAATTTCCCTTGTGATTTTTTTCTTTGACTCGTGGGTATATTATCTAGTTTCCTAATATTGGGGGATTACCCAGATATCTTTCTGTTACTGATTTTTAATTTAATGTTATGGTGATCAAAGATCATGCTTTGTATGACTTGGCTCCTTTTACATTCATGAGACTTGTTTTCTGGCCCCAAATATGACTGTTCTCTGTTACGTTCCATGTGCACTTGAGGAGACTGTATATTCTGCAGTTGTTGGGAGGAACATTCTATAAATGTCAATTAGTCCGTTTGGTCGATAGTGCTGTTCAAGTCTACTATATCCTTCCTGATTAAAAAAAATATATATGTTTATATTGATTTCAGAGAGAGGAAGGAGGAGGGAGAGAGAGAAACATCAATGATGAGAGTCATTGATCGGCTGCCCGGGGCTCGCCCCCTGCTGGGGATCGAGCCCTGGCCTGGAATCGAACTGTGACCTCCTGGTTCATAGGTCGATGCTCAACCCTGAGCCACGCCGGCCGGGCCTTCCTGATTTTTTTAATTTTTTTTTTGCCTACTTGTATAAAGTATTTAGAGAGATGTGTTGAAATTTGCAACTATATAATTGTGGATTTCTTTATTTCATCTTGAATTTTATCCGTTTTTATTTCACATATGCTGAAGCTCGGTTATTAGGAGCAAAACCATTTAAAACTGTTATGTCTTACTGGTTAATGGGCCTGCTTAGAATTATGAGGGGACCTTCATTCTTTCTGTAATATTCTTTGCTCTGAAATCTACTTTATTTGATATTAATATCGTCATTCTTTTGAGCCATGTGAACATTCTCCATGTCTTCATCCCTCTAACTGTGTCTTAGGTTTAAAGTGTGTTTCTTGTTGATAGTATCTAGTCGAGTCTTGGTTGTTGTTGTTTTTTCATTCTGATAACCTATGTCATTTAATTGGGATGTTTAAACCATGTATATCCAGTGTAGATATTGGTATGGTTAGGTTTACGTCCATCATCTTCCCCTTTATTTGCCTGATCTGTTCTTTGTTCCCTCTGTCTTCTTTTTATGCTTTATTTTGGATTGAGTATTTTATTATTTTTTCCATCTCTTTGTTGGCTTATTAGATATAACTCTTTCATTATCTTAGTAGCTGACTTAGGGCTCATAATCTGCATCGTTGACTTATTACAGTGTACCTTCAAGTGATATTATACCACGTCACATGTAGTAAAAGAACATCAAAAGAGTGTATCTCCTTCCCCCCCCACTCTTGGCCTTTACACTGTTACTGAGACATGTTTTACTTTCATCATTCATCTAGGAGTTATCAACGTCAGTCATTTAGATGTTATACATCCCCATAATATGCAATCTGATTATTTTGTTTAAAAGGTCAGTTATCTTTAGAGACATTTATATAATGAGAACAAGGGTTCATATATCTACCCATGTAGTTACCATTTCTAGCCCTCTTCACGCCTTTGTGTAGATCCAGGCTGCCGTCTCGTGGCATTTTCCTTCCCTTTGAAGGACTTCCATAAACATTTTTTATAATGAAGATTTAGTGGTGATTAATTCTTTCAGCTTCTGTGTGTCTGAAAAGACTTGTTTCGATTTCATTTCTGAGAGACATTTTTGCAGGCTATCAAAGTCTAGGTTGATAATTTTTTCTGCTCCGCTGTCCTCTCGCTGAAATTGTTTCTGATGAGAAACTGGCCATCACTCTTATCTTGGTTCCTCTATACCTAAAGTGACAGGTAGAATAATGACCCCTCGAAAATATCTGCATCCCGATTCCTGGAACCTGTGCCTATCTCAGATTACATGACAAAGAAGAATTAAGGTCACAGATGGAATTAAGTTTGGTGATCTGCTGGCCTTAAAATAGGGAGACTATCCTGGATCACCAGGGTGGGCCCAGTGTAATTGTAAGGGTCCTTAAAGGTGGAAGCAGGAGGCAGGAGAAAGTCAGTCAGTCAAGAATATATTACTATGGAAGAAAGGCACAGAGAGACGCTTTAAAGTTGGAGGAAGTGCGTATAATCCCAGGAATATGGGGGCCTCCAGAAGCTAGAAAGGGCAAAGAAATGGATCCTCTCCTGGAACCTGCAGAAAGGAGCCCTCCCTACACCTTGAGCTCAACCCAGTGAGATTCACTTGGACTTCTGAGCCTCTCAGTTTGTGGTAGTTTGTTTTAGCAGCAATATGCATAACATGTCTTTTTCCTCAGGTGGTTTTTAAGATTTTTCCCTTTATCACTGGTTTTGAGCAAATTGATCATGATGTACCTTAGTGTAATTTTCTGGGTGTTTTGTGCTTGGAGTTTACTGGGCTTCTCGGATCTGTGGGTTTATAGCTTCATCATGTTTAGAAAATATTTACTTATTGTTCCTTCAAAAGTTCTTTTTTCTCTCCTGTTCCATTTTGGATAGATTCTATTGCCATGTCTTCAAGTTAGCTAATCTTTTCTCCTAAACTGTCTTTCTGCTGTTAATCCCATTCATTGCACTTTTCATCTCAGATATTGTAGCTTCTATCTCTAGAAGTTCGACTTGGGCCTTTCAAAATACCTTCTATAGCTACTTTTTCCTATGTAACTTTTGCGTATATGAAATACAATAATAACAACTGCTGTGATGTTCCTCTCTGCTGATTCTTACATCTGTGTTTATTCTGGGCTGGATTAGATTGACTGATTCTTCTCATTACGAATCATGTTTTTCTGTTTTTTCCCCCCATTCCTGGTAATCTTTGATTGTGACTGTTACCTGGTTGGGTACTGGATATTGTTATATTCCTAGAACTCTTCTTGAGCTTTGTTCTGGGACGCAGTTAAGCTACTTCTACACGGTTTAGTCCCGTTGGGTCATTTCCCTTCTGGTGTTAGGTGACTCAGAGATGTTCTCAGGAGCTTCTTAGCCCTTTCCATGAAGGCAGGACCTTCCTGAGCACTCTACCCAATGCCCTAGGAGTGATAAGTTTTTAGGCTTTTTAAAAGTGAGTTTTTCAAGTTTCGCTAGTGAGAACAGACACTATTCCCAGCCCGGTGTGAACACCAGGGATTATTCCCTGTAATCTGTTTTGACAGCTCTTTTCCTGGCCTTTGATAGTTTCCTCACATGCATGTGTGGGTCAGTCCTCTGTTTTTGGGGTGCAGGAGGGACCCTTCGCAGGTCTCTAGGGTTCTTGCTTTGTGAACCTCTTCTTTCTTGCGTTCTCTGTCCTAATAATTCTAACTGCATTGGTCTCCACAGACTCTCAGCTCATTCCACTCAACTCAGAGAACCCACACAACTCCACCGTGACGCCTCATCTCTGAGACACAACCTGGAAACTGTCTGAAGGCAATAAGCCGGGGCAACCCTAGGGGTCAGTTTATTGCTTTTGTTTCCCTTCTCTTACAGATCGCTATCCTTTGTTGCCTGATGTTGAGTTGTTGTTGTTGTTTTAGAAAACATTGTTTCATATAATGTCTTTTTCCCCCTAGTGAGAGAGTAAATAATATTTATGTTTCTTTATCTTGACTGAATTATTGCCTGTCTTTGAGTTTATTAATTCTATCTTCTGTTGTGTCCAGTCTTCAGTAAAAACCAGCCAGTAAGGTTTTTCTTTGTTAAATAGACGATTTTTAGAGCAGTTTTATGTTCACAGAAAAATTGAGCAGAAAGTACAGAGAGTTCCCACGTACCTCCTGCCCTAACCATGCACAACTTTCCCCACTACCAACATCCTGCCCAGAATGTGCCCCCACGTTGCTCAGTCATTCATCAGGAGCCTCCCGGGAAGAGCAGCAACCCGTAGCTGGAATATCCAGTAGCTGGAGGCCATCACAAACCATGCTCCTCCAAGCCGCACATAAAAACCTTTCATGAAAGGAGGCCTGAATGTGTACACATCTTCCCATCTGCTGTCTTGTGGCTGACACAGGGCACAGAGGAGCAAGTCCAAGTGCACAAGCGTATTTCAAGCCCCTGCTTATGTTTTGTCTGCTAACACCCGACTGGCTGGAGCGAGTCACGTGGGCTAGCCCAACACCAAGGGGCAAGGAAGTCTGCTCTGCCCACAGAGAGACCACGACAAGAGTGGGCATGCTGCAGGCGAGCGAGGAATTGGGACCAATAATTAGACCGACAAAGGATGGAGGCTGTTTGCAAACTCTGGCCACACTAGTGACTCCTGTTCCTGAGACCGGGCGCCACAGACGGCTCTCAGGAAGGACAACCACTTGACTACAAACCAAAAGTCAGATTTGGTACCTGGAAGCCGAAACTGCAGCTTCAGGGTGGGAAAAGCCAAAGCACAAAGCACCCGCCACGCCCTCCCCCCAGAGCCCCTGCCTGGCAGCTCCTGGGCCGGCCAGGCTGCTGGGCGCGCCAGCCTGGTGGATCAATAGTAATTTAGGGTGCTGGGGGCTGTGGAGGCGCCGTCTGAGTAACTCAGATGAACTGAACTTGAGTGCCAGCTGCTCCCTGAGTCCTTGGGGGAAGCGCACGCACCGTCCACTTAGCGCTGGAGCCCAGCCATTCCCGGGCACCCCCCACCCCTCCTCCTCCGCTCCTCTCCTCTCACCGGCCTGGGTGATCCTGCCTCTTCCACCGGCACCTCCTGTCCTGCCAGCTCCTGGGAGAATGGAGGCTGCAGGGCCTCCCCAGGCCAGGACGTGCTGCCAGGACGCCCTGGAGAAACTCTTCCCTCGCCTCTGCTTCCTCTGTTCCCTGGTGACCTATGCGCTGGTGGGTGCCCTGCTCTTCTCAGCCATTGAGGGTGGCCGGGACCTGGGGGCAGGTGACCCGGAGTTTGAGGATTTCTTGAAGGAGCTCTGCGGCCTTTTAAAATGCAACAGAACTGGTAGGTGGCTCACCTGGGCAGGAGGCCGGGTCTGGGATCCCTGTGTGTGTGTGGCCTCCCCACTCCTGGGCAACCTTAGGCCAGTAGCCTCTCGTTTCTGAGCCTCAGTTTTCTCCTCTGTAAATTGGTTATTACTGAAGGACATAAGAATGTAGAAGAAGCAATGAGCACCCAGTAGCTGCTCTGGGAAGGCCGGCTCCCGGCTCCCTTCCCTTGGCCTCAGCTCCCAGCCCCACCTGGCCAACCCCCTGGAAGGGTGGGTGGTGAGAGAAATGGTGGGGTGCGGTGGACCAGTACTGAGTCGGGGCTAGGAGTGCCTAGTCTGCTCCCCAGAGCTATGCCTGCCCCACCCAGTTCACAGGGATTAGAAATCAAGGAACAATACAAAGTGGGCTTGGACCCCCCCCCCCAAAAGATAGCAGCCTGCCCCCTACCCTCCTACTTTCTATTTCAAACAGCCTTTTCTGTTGTTGGACTTGGGGGAGGGGGGAGAGATTGTAAGAAGGCTTTGGGGCCTGTTTCTAGTCCCTGTTGCTCTTCAGCTTGCTGTGTGATCCCAGGCAGAGCCATTGCCCTCTCTGGGTCTAGGGCGCCAGACAGAAGGGGGCCCACAATCTCAGGGACACTGTGGGAAGCAGGTGAGATAATAAATAGGGAGGCTTTGGAAGACACAAGGCACTTTCTATGTGTCCCTATTGGGTTTCATTTGTATTTAGTCACTTATTTCCACTAGAGGCAGGTCATTTCAGCTGGGGCTGGCTAGAGGCTGGTCACAGGAGGCAGGGTCTCCCCTTCATGGAGAGGCCTCCCCCCTCCTTCTCTCTCCCTCTGTAGCAGACAGACACACGTCTGCTCAGCCCTGGAGATGGCTTCTGCCAGCTCTGCTGCTCGGACGCTCTGACCCGTCACTGGGCCTAGACTGTCAACAAACTCAGGGCTTTCCAAACCTGGCCACACGTCAGGGTCGCCCAGGAGCTTGTCTAAAACGAACATTCCCAGGCTCTGCCCCAAATCTACTTCATCATGATCTCTGGGGCTGGGCATCTTATTTTTAGAAAGTTTCCCAAGTGATCCCAATGCAGAATGGTACACTACACAGAGCTGGTCCAACCCCACCTTCAATGGAGACTAAAATAAATGCTAGCTAAGTGCAGACCCCATGCCAAACACTTGCTATGCATCAGTGCACTTAATCCTTACACCAGCCCTATGAGGGGTGTGTGAACTGTCCCTATTTTACAGATTAAGAAACGGAGGCGCTAGGAGTTAAGCAGCTTGCCCAAGGTCAGGCACTAGAAAGTGGAGCCAGGGATTCAACCCCAGGCACTTGGACTCCAGAGCTTTTCCCCACGGTGTCATCCTGCCTCCCTGATGGGGAAACTGAGGCTGAGAAAGAGGCTTCCTGCCCGCACCTGTAGGAAATGGTCAGGGTCAGAGCTGGGTCGAGAATGCAGGTGTCTGGACTCCCAGGCTGGTGCCCATTGAAAAGAGTAGTGACTTCCTGCTGTGTCCAGGCTCTGTGACATCCTCTTACCACTCCACCAGAGTCCAGCTGGTGGCTTCTAGGATCCCCAAACCCCCTGGCTGCCAGGCCAAAGGAACTACCCGAAAACCTCCCTGAGAAGCTAGGGCTCCCCAACTTGCTTCTGCCAGGCATCCCAGACACCCCCCAGTGACTGGTGCCCACAGATCCCAGTACAATCACCAAACTCCATCAGTAGTAATGACCTCCAGGAGGGGCGCGGGTTGCAGCCATATGACTTGCAGCTTGTATTTCATAAAAGCCTTTTGCTTTCAGTCTACAAGACCCCGTGAGAGGCAAAGCAGTGTGTCTGCCCCTCTGCAAGGTAGAAGAAACAAGGCTCAGAAAGTTCAGAAAGCACTCTGAGGCTGCATAACTGAGCTCAGGCTGGACCCTGGGCTTCTCCCTTGGGTGCTCTCTGCAGGCCCTGGAGCAGGACCTACCTGCAAAGACATTTAAAAGCAGGGCCCCAGAAACCAAGCTTTGGTGTTGATGGGGCCACAAGACCGGGCGGGGGGAGGGGGGAGGGCTGCTGGTCCCTGGGGAAGACTCCTCTTTGCCAGAGCGGGGCCAGTCTTGAAGGGTGGAGCCCTCTCCCTCACTCCAATGTCTCTTTCTCTAGCTATGGAAGACAGGAAACCCGACCTCAGGGAGCTGCTGTCCAGGGTGAAGTCCCAGTGGTTTAGCACGTCTGCAGACTGGTCCTTCCTGAGCTCGCTCTTTTTCTGTTGCACAGTTATCAGCACAGTGGGTGAGTTCAAGGGCAAGGTTGGGCCTGGCAGAAAGACCTGGGGGAGGGGGGGAGGGTGGGGACCCTTGGTGGGGATGCTGGGACGTTAAATTCATTAAGTGTGGAGGGCCTACCCTGTGCCAGGCCTACTGTGCACTGGCAGGCACTGTTCCCAGCTCAGGGACACAGCTGTCCCTGCCACTGGCCCATAAGGTGCCTTTGTGGGAATTAGAAAAGAGCGCCCTTTGTTCAGGTGGGCTCGGCCCATGCCTGGGGGTAGCCCCCAGGGATCGAGGTGTGGGCTGGAATTCAGCCCCTTCTTGCCCCTCAGCTGAATGCTCTGGTACAAAACGCCATCCGCCAGCCACACCTGCCAGCCCTGCCTCCTGGGCGGGAGGGAAGAACTCGGGACAACCACACGTGGTCAGCACGCGATATGCTCAGAATTTTGTGTGAGCAGAGTTGCGGCAGCTGCCCGAGGCTTGGGGAAGGTCCAAGAGGCAGGACCAGTGGGGGTGAGCACGTGTTAAAGGCCCCCTGGAGGGGTGACAGCTGTGAGGAGTAGGGGAGAGGGAGCCGGAGTCACCATCGTGGGGGGAGGCGAGGCATGAAGAGGACACTCCAGGCCAAGAGAACCACCTCCCCGGCCTGTATCCACCAGATGCACTCGCCTGTTCCCCTGCTCTACCCACCAGCTGCAGCAGCCAAAAGTGTCTCCAGACATTGACAAATGTCTTTGAGGGACAAAACTGCCCCCTGTTGAGACCCACTGAACTAATGCAACAATCATCAAAGCGCAGTCCCTGGACCAGTAGCATGCACATCACCCAAAAATGTGCTAGAAATTCCAGTTAATTCTCAGGCCCCATCCTAGACCTTCTGAGTCAGAAACTATGGATGCGGGGCCCAGCAACCTGTGTCTTAACAAGTTCTCTAGGTGATTCTGACGCACGTGACACGTGAGAAGAACTGGCCCGATGCCAGCCGTCTCAGCCCTGGCTGCGCAGCAGTCACCTGGGTGCCTTCTACCGGCTCCCGCACCGCGAGCCTGCCCCACCCAGTCACGTCAGAATCTCTATGGACCGGCCAGGGCATCGGCCTTTCTCAGAGCCCTCCGGGTGATTCTAACAGGAGTCCTGGCTGCGAACCACTGATCTAATGGAAATGCATTAGCTTGGTTTAAATCCCAAGAAAGCAATGCTATTACCCATGGTTTAAGTCAATTAGGACATCAGGCCATCCAGTAATTACAACTGGGAGAGGAAGCGGGGGGAAAAGTTCTGCTCTGCCCGTAATCAATAATGGTGTTTGAAGGCCCTGCTGGCATTGCCGCTTCCCGCCCTGCGTCTCTGGGTCACCTGAAGTCACCTGGCCTTGGTGCTGGGAAAGGCACACCTGGCAGGTGTGAGGTTGGTCACTCCCCAGCCATTTCCAACTGGGTCAGCCCCCTTGGATTAGAAAGTTAGGTGTCTGGACTATTAGCTACTCGCAGCCTGAGTGGAAAGGGCCCATCATAGCGGGATATATAAATGCGTTGTGAGAAATGATGTAACTTCCCACCATGCACTTCAGCACTCAGTAATCGGGACGGTCAACACAGTCCCTTCGTGGGGCTGGCTGCTCTCTGAGAATTGTTTCCGCAGTGCATTTTCTATAACGCGGCATCTGTTCTGGGTTGTAAACACATCCCACCCAAGGCAGCCCAAAAGACGGTATTTATAGTTTGCTAAGACCACCCTTGCCGAGGAGAGCGCTCGCTGGGTTGGGCACGGGTGCTGAGGGAGGTCTTCGGGGGAGGGGGGCACACCCTTGTTGGCTGCGGGTTGAGTGGCCCTGGGTAGGTCACCTGACTTCCCTGTTCTTTGTCCATTAAATGTGGAAATCATGGTGGTTGCCAGCATTAGGGGCTTTGTTATGCAAGGAATTTTGACTCCAAAAGGCACTTGACTCTATACATCCGTAAGAAATGTGACATTCTTTTCTTAAAAAAAAAAAAAAATCTGATCCTCGGTCCCCATACTTGAAGATGGGGAATAGTTACTGAAGAGCATCTCCTGACTTTCCTTGGGGTGCATGAGAACTGGGGGACTTAGGTACTGTGGAAGACAGGGTGGCCCCTGTCTATGGGCCCTCCAGGCTGCTGCTGATGTCCTTAAGGGTGGGGCCCGTGACGAGCTTGGGCAGGGGATCTCTGCTGACACCCATGGCTGGGCCTCTCTGACCTGCCCCTGCAGGAGAGGCCCGGCTCCCTCTCTTCCCTGCTCGGGAGGCTCTGTCCACCGTCCTCGGTGACTACAGTCAGCTGCCCCTCTGCGCGGGGCTGCCCTGGTGTTAGCACCGGGAGTCCCATGTTCTGGGAAACCCCTCCATCCTGAGCAAACTGGGCACTTGGTCATTCTTTCCACGACCCACCTCCGTCCCCTGTCCTCCCTCTCCCTTAGATCCCGCCGCCGCCATGGTCTCCTCAGTGGTTCTGGGCTTTCACCAAAGCCCGGATGAGAGGCTGACCTGAGGCCCCTTCTGCAATCTCCTGTCCCTGAGGGGAGGGCGGGAGCTGCTGGAGACCTTCAGGGAACAGGGAAAGGGAACAGAGTTTCCACTGAAACCCTGGGCGCCCCCTCAGCAGCTCCTGCCCCACAGAACAAACCTGGGATCCCGTTGGGAGGTTTAACCAATGTGGTCCCTGCTCCCAGCCCCGGTGCGCATACCCGTTGGGTCCTCACCACGTCTTGCTGGGTTGGAGGAGTGCGGAGCTCAAGGCCAAGCTTCCTAGAGGGCGTGACCTCTGCCTGTTCCTTGTGTACCCCCAACCAGGCTCACAAGAGCCTGGCATATAGTAGGTGCTCAATAAACCAGGCTGGGGGCCTTTGTTCTAATCGATCACCCAACGTTCTGCTCTTTTATGCACTGTCTTTAATCACCATCTGTACTTCCAAACTCGCTAAGTGGAGTATGGAATTTGACTCATACCTGCCTCCCCCACCAAACCAGAAGCTCGGTGGGGTGAGATCTCATGTTTACTTTGCTCACTGTGACCCCAGCGCCTGCAGTCAGCACTCGATGTGCACATACAATACACATACAGTACACATGTTGGCCCTGCCAACATGTGGTGCCTCTGGAACCAGCCAGGGTGGCGTGGGGTGCCCTGGGATGGGTACAGACTGATGAGGCCCATCGAGGGCCACTGCGCTTTCCCAGGACCCTGGGGCAGCGGGCAACCTGAGCATTCCTGGAGGGCAGAGCCTGAGACCAGAGTTTGCCACAAGGAGCTGCAGCCCTGGAGGAGCTGGGGCTCAGCCAGACTAGCAATTACCTTCAAATTAATTTGCATAATTGGGCTGGGTTTTCTGTATTAATCAGCCGTTAGGACATCAAAAATTAAACACAGGCATTACGTCCAAAAGCCTTCCCTCTGTTTGTTGAAGTCACTGAGCCTGCCCATTTGGAAGATCTAACTACCTGCCCTGTGGGGTGTGACGACTCCCTGCTCCTGCCCTGCTGTAGACATGAGGGTGGGGGGAGGGTGGTGGAAGGAAGGGGGCTTCTGGGGAGCATGGAGGCCTCAGCCAACCCCCTTGGTGCTCCTGACCCAGTGGAGACTGAGCCCTGACGGGAGCTGGCAGCCCTGGGGGTTTGACCCCCAGCTCCACTCTTTATTGCACGTGTGCTCTTGGCCAGGGGGCTTCATGTCTCCGAGCCTCAGTTTCCCCGTCTGTGAATGGTGATAACAACACCCACCCATGAAGGTTGGTTGACACCAGCCCACAGCGAGTGCTCAGAGGGCAGCCAGTACTCGCTCCTGAACTGGACACCAGCATTCATCTGTCGCCACTGTGTCAGGCCCTGGTCCCGCGCAGTCCTGCCTGCTGGTCAACAGACCAAGCAGGGATCGTCACCCTCAGTGTACGGATAAGAAACCTGAACATGCGAGCAGCCAAGTCACTTTCTAGTAAATGGCAGAGCTGGGTTTTGAAACGAGGTTGGTGAGATTCTAGATGCCAGGACCCGAGCCACTTCCCATCGCTCGTGAACGTGTGTGTCTGGTCCACTAAACCACAGGTGGCTCTGAGAGCAGCAGCTTTCCAACTTCCTCCTGTCCAGAGAACTACGCCCGCTGCTGTGCGCACCGTTGGCCATAACAATCGCCTATTATACAGAAACAAACACACCAAGGGGCCTAGGCGTCCCGGGAGGACGGGGGTGGCTTCTTAAAGCCACTGCCTTCCTGGGGGGCGAGGGAGGTGGTGGGCATGACCGCCACGCCACCCGAGCCCTCTGCCCCCGCACATCCTGTCCGAGGGGGGCTGGCTCGCCTCACACAGACGCTCAGGAACGCCACAGGGAATGACAGGCAACCAGCTCACTCCCACCCCGCGCTTGTCCCCCGCCAAGGACACTTCAGCAGGCCTAACCTTAGACGCGTGGATGAGTGTTTTAAGATGAATATTCGCTAACACATTGTGTCAAGTGTCATGTCGGGGAGGGGAAATGGCAGAAGGCCTCTTGAAGGCTTCTTGGGGATGGCGAAGAGCAGATACAAGCCCCGGCCGTGTGGTCTTTTTCAGGTTACAGCCACGTCTACCCGGTCACCAGGCTCGGCAAGTACTTGTGCATGCTCTACGCTCTCTTCGGCATCCCCCTGATGGTCCTGGTGCTCGCGGACACAGGCGACATCCTGGCAACCGTCTTATCCAGGTCTTACAGTCGGTTCCGAGAGCTCCCATTCCTCCGCCCTCCCCTGGCCAAGTGGTGCTCCCGACTGCTGTGCGGGACAGGGCCTGGCGCCGAGCCCCGGGACCAGGCCGTGCCCAGGATCGTCATCAATGCGCAGGAGCCCCCGGGCCCCAAACCTGGCAGCTGTGCCTCTGGCCCGGGCGGCCACGTGGAGCTGCTCGAGAGGCTTCTGGCGGGGGAGAAGCAGGGCGCCCTGGCGTCCCCGAGCCCGTCCTACTCCGTCATCAGCAACCTGGGCGAGGTGGGCCGCCAGGCGGAGCGGCTGGACTTGCCCCTGCCCGTGGTGGCCCTCATAGTTTTCGCCTCCATCTCCTGGGCGGCCGCCATCCTCCCGGCCTGGGAGCGGCGCCTGGGCTTCGAGGACGCCTTCTACTTCTGCTTCGTCACGCTGACCACCATCGGCTTGGGGGACATGGCTTTAGAGCACCCGCATTTCTTCTTGTTTTTCTCCCTCTACATCATCGTGGGGATGGAGATCCTCTGCATCGCCTTCAAGCTCATGCAAAACAGGCTGATTCGCATGTACAAGCATCTCCTGCTGTTCTTGGCAAAAGGGAAGTTTTAGGGCCCGCTGCAACATGCAACGCCAGGCGCCCTGTCTCTCCTCTCTGCGTGAGGCCTGCGGCAGCTGGTTTGCTTGCCTTGTCCTTGGGGCAGTGCAGTTAAAACACGGCCCTGCCGCCTGTCCTCTCCTCTGCGACTCTGGGGCGCTGATTTTAGGCTCCAGGCCCCGTAGGAATGTGGCCGATGCCCTTCGCATCAGGACATTAGACAAAAACCGTCTCCAGTCCCCAAAGTCCAATTTATTTCCCTGTCTTCGTTTTTAAAAACCGCCACCTTATGTAGATGAAACCGCCTAATGGAAGTCACAGGTTTTCTTGCAGCAAGAGAAAAAAAAATAACCTTTGTTCTTGCAATTTGTACTTTGTGCAAAATTAAAATCCTCCTGAGCTGCTCCCCTTGTAGCCTTTGCTGAAACAGAGAGGCCTCTTTTCTTAAATGACTGTGAACATGGGCCAGGTCGGCCGGATTCCAGTCCGGGCAAAGTACGCTGATGGCACTGAGTGGGACTGTCACCCGTGTTCACAGGGGCCTGGGAGGTTTCCTGACGGCCAGGCTCTGTGCAGACCCGTGTTCTCACCCAGCGGCACGTGACTGGCGCCTCCTGAACGAGCGGGCGTGTGAAAGCGTTGACGCCTAGGCGCACGGCTTGGTGCCCAAGAGGGCTGGCGCCACCGGCTCCCGTCCTGGACGAGACTCAGGAGTGAGCTGGCATGTGAATGGGCTGGTCTGTGTGGCAGATGCTGAGGCGCACCACCCAGCTGCCCTGTACTCCAGCTCCCTTTGCCCGATGACTGATGGCACCCAGCTTCTTGCCCCTCCCATGGGTAACTCTGGGTCACGTTCAACACCGTCTCCCCAGTTCCCCAGCTGAATGGAGCCTCGGCGGCTATGAGCACACCCTGGCCTGCCTTCCTTCATCTCCCTGTCTCACTTCCCACTCCCCTTGAGCTCACCCCTAAACGGCCCCCATGCACACGAATCCTTGTCTCGGTCACTCCTGGGGACCCCGGCCTGGGAGGGATGTAACAAGTCGGGGTATGAACTGGTTGGCACACCTAGTACCTAGCAATACAAGAGTCTTACTACTTCCACGGTCAGTTATGAGAGATGTTTGGTTGGAGGGAATCTGACTTTCTTTGAGAGAATCTTGGGAAAAACCAACCTGCGTGCAGTGATGGGCAAGATCAGTCAGCCGCTAGGTAAACGGTGCATTTTGCTCCAGCGTACAGAACAAAAACGGCAAGAACCGATGAAAAACCCCAGGGGCTCCCAGTTTGAAAATAAAGGCAGCACCTATGTTTTCAGGGGCTCTTCAAAGTCCAGTTCCACAGGCGCCGAGTGCTCGTGCTTTTCCCGGCTCCAAGACGATCCAGGCTCAGCCTCAGAGAGCGGACGAGCTCCAGGCGGGGTGGCGTTGCTCAGCCAGTCCCTTCCGGGGGAAGCAGAAAGTCCCGTTCAAACGCACACGTTTATCGGGGACATACATGCAAACTAAGGTCACGGTCTTTGGCTAGCGGGTCCATATGCTCCTGCAGCTCTGAGGACATGGCTCAGCAGGCCTTCCTGCTCTGCACTTCCCGCCCCTCTGCCCCTTGCGCCCCATATTCCCGCCCCCGACCTACTTCTCATTCCTGTGCAGGAATGTGAATTCATTCGCTCCCAGCCTCGCCTGGTCACCCGAGGACCTTCAAGAATTCAGGTGTCATTGGGCGCAGAAAGGCCCTGTCCCCCATGCACAGCTCCTCTTGGAACTTCGGGGACCTAGACCAAAGACTTTGGTGGTGGCGCTGTCCCAGATGCTGTGGGGGTGGCCCTGTCCAGTTGTCCACCAACCCAGCACGTGGTATTGTTAGCCCCTCCTCCACTTTTCTTTTTTTTTAATCAGAAGAGGCTGGAGTTCAGGGGCATTTAGCTCAAGGTGACAGCCAAAGAGATGGTGGGAGGCAGAGGAGGGAGGCAGTCATTCCCGGAGGCCCCAGATCTGGGGACCACGGGGGCTGCGAGGGGCGCTGTCAAGGGAAGGGCAGCCGACCGCCAGCGCTGCCTTGCGGGCTCGGGGCTCAAAGCTCGTGGGGTGGGGGAGCTGATGGAGGAACCGTTCCTGAACCAACATCTGAACATCGGGCGGTGAGGCTGCCGGCGGCCCCCCTAAACCCTGCAGACTGGACTGCGCTTCCCCGAGTGGCCACCAGGTGGAGCCTCCAGACCGCACGGGCCGGCGCTCGGGGCCAGCAGGTGGCGTGTCCTCTGTGGCCACATCCCAGAGCCTCCTGGAAGGGACCTGGGGGAGCGGTGATCTCCGGCCGTGGTCCTCTGAGAGGGGACACCTCGGACTTCTGTCCTCACCACGGTCTTAGAGGACCAGGCTTCTCGGACCTCTGTCCCCCGCTGCGGACACTGGGGGAAGCGGGACGTCGGACCCATGTCCTCTGAGCAGCTTTCACTGGGGACGCTTAGGACTCTTGTCCTCGCCGTGGCTGTTCCCTATTCTTTAAATCACATGTCCTGCCAAGCTAAGGTCAGGAAATGTGACCACTTGAGTCCCAGCCACTAGACAGTGGGTGTCTGGTCAATAGTCCCCTCTCCCATGGGTCCCTTCCTTCTCTGACCCACCAGCCTCACCCTGGGGGGTGGGGAGGTAGATGGTCTGAAGCTTGCAAGAGACACTTAGAAGTTTCTACAAAGCACAGGTGCCCTGTCCCACCTGAGGTCTGCTGGGCTGGAGGCTCTGGGAGTGACCCCCGAGAATGGCTGTGGTGTTGGGCTGTGGTTTGCTGTTTCTAACGCTGCCAGGTGATTCTCATCGGTCTGGGCTGAGAACCACTGTCTTACCGGAGGGCCAGGGCCACGGCCAGGGCCAGGCAGGCTCTCACAGGGCCAGGAAGGGGCTTGGGGTGCCTGCTGCTTCCTGGGAGGGCTGTGGGGACACAGCTGGCTGGGTGCCAATCCTGCTATGGCCCTGCCCGGCTGAATGACCCAGACACTGGAGCCTGCTTCTAGGTCTCTCCAGGGAGGAGAGGATTGGCCTGGGCAGCCCCTGTGGTCCTGCTGACCTCCGGTGTTCGGCGTCCTGCCTGCTGCTTCGATGGGTGGGAAGCTGAGGGACCTGGTCTCCCCCCCGTCCCCCCGGGCACTGGCCTGTGGGCTGCTGGGTGCATTGCTCCGACCTGGGCCCCTCAGTACCGACCAGGAACGGCCGTGTGGCTCAGTGGTGAAGGCCTTTGCCTGTGGAGAGGGGCTACCTTCAATCTTGGGCAGGTTCCTTTATCAGTCAAATCAACATAAAAATGGTACCTACCTCAGAGTTGTGAGGATCCAACAAGATAATCCACAGGAAGCGCTGTAGCCCCCAGCTCTTTGAGCTCTTTAAAAAGTCCTAGCCGGCCCCTTTACTGTGATCAGGTATCAAAAGTGGCGCGTTTCAGCTTTCTCTGCTCCGCCTCACCGCCTGGGGTTGGGAGAAGGGGGGTGGACTGTGGGGTAAGGGCCTGGACACTCAATGAGCCCCCACTGACTCTGGGCCGGTCCAATCACTCGGGCCCAGGGAGCAGGAGCAGTCTCCACCCAGGTGGGGCCCCTTCAGCAGCTAACAGCCAGCACGCGTAGGGTGGGGGTGGGGAGCACGCTTTCCCAGCTGCCCACTTAGTACCCTGGGCTTCCCAGGCGCTGCTGTACCCTTCTGCCCAGCCTGCACCTGTCACCTTCTCTCGGCTCCCAAAACAGCACTTTCCCCGCTGAGCTCTCGCTCCAGCTGCCACCTGCGGCCCATTGTTCCTTCCCTGTCTCCTCTGCCTCCCTTTGGTCCCACCAGGTGGCCATTCACGACATCCCCCGTGCTCCAAACTGAAGGCTGCCTCCCCAGCACCCCCGACTGGCGCGGCCAAGGCTGAGCTCTCATCTCGCCCCTGGGCCTTGCTCCTCAGCATCCCGGGAGCAGCAGCCCCAGCCCTCCTGTCACTCAGGCCAGGAGCCCCGGAGGCTGCCCGACTGGGCTCGCTCCTCCCTCCTGCTCTGACTTGAGAGGCCCGTGTGCGGCTCTTAAGAATTCTCTCAGCCCTGAGTGTGCCCCCAGAGAGTCCAATTTCTCTGGTGTCAGGTGGGGCCTGGCAAGTGTATATTTTAGAAGCCCCCAGTGACTCTGGCTGCTAATTCATTCATTTATTCGTTCACAGGCCATTGTTCAGTGAGCAGTGTCCCAGGCTAGAGGTACAGCCTTAAGGAGAGCGCTTCGGATGTACAGACAGATAGCCGATGCTCATGCATATTTGCCGGGCAAAGGTGCATCCAGTAGGGTTGGTGACCCAGGCCCCTCTCCCCCTGACAGAGGAGCAGTAAGACAGCTGGATGACAGGGGCCAGGCTGAGGGGTTGTCTCTCCCCGCCCCCACATCCAGCTTCCTGGGAGCCGGGCACGTGCCGTGGCTGGCAGTGGACTGTCCAGGGTCAGAAGGCCCGGGTGGCTGGGCTGTTGCCATGGAGACCGATGTGCACCGGTTTAGCGGAGAACTTTGAAGTGGACTTGGATGCAGGACATCAAAGGGCACCTCCCTCTCAGGTGCAAGTCGTGGCTTCTTTTCACTGCCCTCGGCCCTTACTGCTCTTCTTTTGTTCTTGCCATTTAGATCGGAAAAGAAAACCCTTTGGAATGCTATAAATTCAAAATGTAGGCAACCAAGGGGCCTCTCTGAGGTTCAAACCCCCCCTTTAGTCTCTTCAAAAAGCAATTGCATGTGTAGAAAAAGAGATGACCCTGCAAAGGTGGTCAGCATCGCCCGTATGTCACTGTCCAGCGAATCCAGTGGAGGGCAAACGTAGGTTTACAGTTAACCCAGCTATTGAAATCATCCTGCCTGCATGTCTTTTTCCATATGAACAACTATAAACCTGCTTTTGCCCACCCCTGTGTTTACTGAGGACCTACTATGTGCCAGTGCCCAGGGGACTCAGAGTGGTACAATATGGACCAGGTCTCTGGTCTCTAGAGCTTATGATCAGGAACCGCTCCGTGCCTCAGTTTCCCCAATGTACAGCCCCAGGGGTTTCCATATGGTTTCTAAAGCCCAGGCAAAGTTCCCGCACTCACCCCCATTTTGGCCTGAGTAGATTTGCTTTGCTCTGTTTTATATGTTCTGCTTTCCTATAACATTTTGTTTGAAGAAAGAACTCCATAACATTAAAAGGGGGGAGGGGGATTGGGAACGAAAACCGCTGGCCAGGGATTCCCTGGGGAAAGCCTGCTGGGCAGTGCCCCCTGTCACCTTCCTTTCCTCCCTGGGCAGCACCACTACCCTCTCTCTTCTCAACAGGTGACCGAGTGACGTCAGGCCCGATTACAAAGGCCACCTGAGTCTTTCCCGAAAGCCACTTACACTGTCCGGGCAGGGAAGCGTGAAGTGGGCCTGGGACAGGGCGCTTTATTGACTGTCTCCTGTCTCGAGGGGCTGCAGGAAGGCTTTATTAACGGCAAAACCAATCTCATTTAAGGGCACTGCGCTGCCTGGGCCCACTCAAGGTTCAAGCGATATTTCTACCCCTAGGCCGAGTCTTCTCGTGTTTATGCCTTTAGTATGCACGTTGCCTTTCTCCCTCAAGGCCACACTGATGCAAAGAGCAAAGAGTCTGGGTTGCAGGACAGCTTCTAGCAAAACACCCAAACTCAGCGACATCACCCCACCCACGGGGGCTGCTGGAATGTCCTCTCTTGCCTCAACGTCACGGCGTCCTTCCAGAGATCACAGGCTCCTGGGTGCTCAGGCTGTGCCTCCCACTTCACTGTGCACTGTCCCAGGCACACAGTGGGCCTACAGTAGAGGCCGGAGGATGGGCCACCTGCTGCTGGGTGTGTAGGATCAGTGGCCTCGGTTTCAGCAGCTTTGGGGGACCCCTTCCTTCTGGTGATGTGTGTGTGTGTGCGCGTGTGTCCCTGGGGCACCCAAACACTGGCTTTGCAGAGAGACAACATTTCCTACAAGACAACAGTCAATATAAATCCAATTGGACATAATGACTGGATTTCTCTCCCCCACTCAGAGATGGTGACAGTGATTTCTCAGATGCCTTTTAGTTACAGACAAGTTTCTGAACAAAATAATTAGGTTTGAGTCTTTGCAGCCTGCCCTATTGGACTATTGATTACCCACTAAAATCTTCCCGGCGGATGTCTGGGTGTGCGGTTGGCATGGCAAGTGGGTAAAGACAGCTCTGAACAGGTGTGGGAGCCTCCACGGAGCTGGGTTCTGAGTCCGTGGTCCCTCCCAGAGCTCTCAGCTGCTGAGGATCACCTGTGGGCACCCACCTGTCAGCACCTCCAGTGTCAAACGTCAGCTGTCCCTGAAGCACCGAAGTCCAGGGGGCCAACTTCCAGTGCTCACTGCCCTGACCTCACGCCTGTGTGACCTTGGGCAAGGCTCTGTCCCTCTCTGGGTCTGCTTTCCCCTGTGGAAAAGGCAGCTGTTAAACTCAATAACCCCCAGGGCCCCACCCAGCACTGATGGTCTAGCCCAGTGCTGTCCAATAGAAATACCCCATGAGCCACAAATGGGAGCCACACAGGAAATTTTCAACTTGCTAGCAGCCATGTTAAAAAACAGGCAAAAAGTAACTGGCAAAATTCGTTTTAATGATACATTTTATTTAACCCTATGTATCTAAAATATTGTTGTTTCAGCATGTCAACAATATAAAAATTATTAATGAAATGTTTTGCTGATTTTAAGAGGCAAGGGGAATGAAGACAGGCAGTGCGAGGCTGGACTGGGCACGTCCCATTGGGACTCTCTGAAGACATTTGGCATTATCCTAAGTGCAAGGCCACGGGAGGCTTTTAGGCCAGGGTGTGGCATGAGAACACTGAGTTTTTGGCTCTCTCCAGCAGGTGGCCGCGGGAGGCCCGTCGGGCAGCCACCGGGCGCCCCTGCCATGGTGCAGGTGAGCGTGGAGAGCCAGGGCACAGGGCTAATGAAACGCGCTCTTCACAGCGGGTGGCTCCTCTGCGGCCGCCAATTACAGCAAACGTCCTCAGACAGGTTAGTGATTCTATTATAGTGGCCCAACCTGGAGACCTGCATTTTACAGATAATGTTGCATGAAGCCAGTTAATGCAGTGATTGAATTATTAAGTTAGAGCGTCTATGACTTAATTTCATTGGCCGTCAGCGAGGCATCCTTCAAGTAAATTGACATGTGCTCCGCCGTCCCTCTTAAAACCGGTACAGCAGATTCGGTTACGTCCTGTATGGAAAATGTTCCGTTACAGTACACAGAACTCAGAAAAGGAGGAAAGTGAAATGCTTTTTTTTTTTCTAATTGGAGCTCATTTTTTTGTATGTGTTAAACAATGGACAGAGCTGGCTTCAAAGGGGAAAAAAAATGCTTATTGACTGAGGCAGATCTGGCCGAGACCTTCCAGGAGCACTTGGAAAGAATGTGAAGTCTGCTCCTTTTCAGGGTAAATAAATAGCAATTAGGCCAACACGGTTGATGGTATTGTTTTGATCTTCTGTGTCTGCTTTTTGTCGGGGTGTTCCATCAGTTGTTGAGAAAGAGGTGTTAAATCCCCCAGTTTGGATTGTACAACCCAAGTTGTTTTCCCCCCCCCTTACTTTTACATATTTTGAAGCTCTATCGTTGGGTGCATACATATTATAATTATTATGTCTTCCTATTGAATCGATCACTTTTATCACTGTGAAAACTTCTTTTTTACATCTCTGTTTGGAGTTTGTCTTTAAATCTATTTTATCTGATATTAATATAGCCACGTTAGCCTTCTAATGCTTATGGTTTGCATGGCATATTTTTTTCCATCCATTTACTTTCAACCCACCTGTGTCCTTATAAAGAATGTCTCTTATGGAGTTTGGACTATTTTTTTAAAAACCCATCCTGACAATTTCTTTTAATTGTGGTATCCATTTAATGCTTAATGTATTTCATCTATCATTTTATTTTTTGTTTTCTACTTGACTCCTCTGACGTTTTCTGCTCGTCTGTTCCTCCTTTCTTGCTTTTTGAAATTATTTGAATACTTTATAAAATTATTGATACTTGATAGAAATTTAATTTTACTTTTCCTGTTAGCTGTTGACCCATTCTTTCTTGTATTATTTTTACAGCGATTGCCCAAGAGGTTACAATATCCATCCTTAACGTTTCACACTCAAATGTAGAGTTATAACAGCATACCGCTTCGCGCAGAATACAGAAATCTGGCCACTTTACAGCCCCATAGCCACCCGCATACTTTAAGGTAGAGTTGTTATAAGTGACACATTTACATGTGTCATAAATCCCTCAAGGCAGCGTTATTTTAAATAGTTAAAGCTTTATAAAGAAAACAAAGGGGAAAAGACAAAAAACAAAATAAGACACCCCCCCCCTCCCAAAACCCCTCAAGTCTTGCCTCGTGCCAGACATCTACCTTTCCTGACACTCGCCACACTTCTCTGAGGACCTGGGTTTCCACCTGCTCTCGCTTCCGCTCAGCCTGGCTCAGGGCACAGCCCCAGCCCCGGGAGAAGCGGCCGCGAGTGGCCACAGAGCTCAGCCCTGAAAGCCTGCACCCCCCCAGCCCCTCTAGGGGGGAGCCCCGGGACACAGAGTGGGGTTGATCGCCTGCCTCAGTTCCGAGCAAGGCCTATTTCTTGGCTTCTTTCCACTTTCCCGCCTCGTCCCACATCCCCTCTCCGGGTCCCTCCCCAACGAAGGCACCTGCTGGGTCCTGGGAATACATGGCCCTGACTAGGAATGAAGACCCCAAAAGGTGGAGGAGTTCTATGTGTTCCTGCTCCAGACTTCATCAAATCTGCGCACAGACCGGCGGTGTCCCGCGTGGCCTTCTAGCGGCTACATGGTGCTCCTCCGCCTGTCACTGGTTGATCCCCTCGTGATGGAACCCGAGGCTGCCTCCTGCTCCCCTCTGCTGCAGACAACACGGCAGCGACTGTCCTCACGCTTGTCCCCCTAAGGCCCCAGCAGAGCTTTCCCCGAGACATGGATGGAGAGCGACGGCTGGACCAGGGGTGCCTGCTGAGACCTGATTCCACCGCCAAGCACCCCTGGTTGCTCCCAGGAAGGCTGCACGGTCCCCGCTCCACCCCAAGGAAAGGAGCCCGTTTCCTTCCCTCTTCCCTCGCAAATGGCATTTACCCAGCTTCCTAACTGTTGCCACAATGTAGCGCTTGTATCTCACTGTCGTGTTAATCGGCATCTCTCTGCTTGCTGGAGTGTCTGTCTCTCCGTGAGCCTGGTGGCCCTCCGGGCTTCCCCTTCTGGGAACTGCCTGTCTCACTCCGCTGGCTCTTCGCTGGGCAGCTTACCGCCTTCCCGACTCGTGTGTTAACCAGTGGGTCAGGTTTTGTTAGCCCAGGGACCTCTGAGTCTCTTCAGGATGCCTTTGTTCATTTCTGCTCTGACCCATTCTTCACATTTCACAGCTTAATGCCTGGGCGATACAATTGTTTTCCTTATATCCAAGTTCTCTGCTGCAGGGACACCTGAGGATTTTCCCAATGGACCACCCTACACCTTCCGCCTGCTCAGCACTTTCGTCTCCCCGGAGCCAGAGAACACTACGCTAGGATCACCCCCCTCTTAACCCCTTCAACTCTGTGAGGGGGGCCTCTCACCACGCTGAGTGACAGATGAGAAACTGAGGCACGTAAAAGTTGAGTAACATGCTGGAGTTGGCGTGGCTTCTTGTGTTCACCATTGCAGCCTTGCTACCAGAATGTGTAAGCACCCTGAGGACAGGGATTTTGTCTGTTTGGGCCGTTACTGTCTCTCCAGAATCTAGTGCCTGGCACCTAGACAGCCCTCAACAATTATATGTTAATGAATGAATGAATGAATGAATGAATGAATGAATGAATGAATGATAGACGCTGAGCTGTCACTCTCTAAGGGAATGCCTGTGCATTCCTATTTAATCCTAAAAACAACACTGCAGCAGGTCCAGTTAGTAGCCCCATTTCAGAGATGGGGAAGCTAAGGCTTGGAGAGGGTACATAACCTGCCCAAGGCCACTGATTAAAGAAGCAGCAGGCTGGGACCCCGGCATCCTGACTGGGGCCCTTAACCAGATGCCTCTGTGCCCCAGGGACGTGGGGGCGGGGCCTGCATCTTGGGGTTCAGAAACTCCAGGCACTCTGGGGCACTCCACGAGTGTGATCCCCTTCACAGACATCTGAAATGACTCCGGCCGTCGGCCCTCTCCTCAGAACTGGCTCTCCTCCCTGATTAATATTTAAGTTACACACATCCCGGGACACACAGGAGTCCCCACGTCGCTGGTTACGTATCCAACCACTTTCCTCACACGCCAGGGGCACAGGGGAGTCTGGGAGGAAGCGAGGGGGTGGAGAGAAGGGCGCGCCCACCCACCCTGCTGCGCTAGGCAGCCTGCGGACACGGGTGAACCGAGCCCGGGCTCCACTGCAGGGGAACATTTATTCTAAGTGGCTTTCCAAGAAAATAGCTCCTGTTCCTCCCGCCCCCTAGATGGGCCTCCAGGGCCCTGGCTACGTCAGGATGGCTGCTTCCCTTCCGTTTGTAGAGTAGAGGGACCTGGAAGCCGAAGCAGACCCTCACCCCTTGGCGGTGCAGGTCACAGCCCCCAACAAGCATTCTCCCTGTCACCCATCTCTCTCTCTTTTCCCATTTCTTTTAAAATTACATTTATTGGGGAAATGTTGGTTAGTAACATTGTATGTTTCAGGTGTGCAACTTTGTAAGTCATCACCTGCTGTGTGCTCACCACCTGGAGCCTAGCCTCCTTCCCTCACCTGGCACTTGACCCCCCCCCCAGCGTCCCCTCTGGGGTGGCTCTGTTGCCTGGATCCGGGAGTTGCTTTTTGCTGAACGTCCCACATGTTAGTGAAATCATTCGGTCCTTGCTCTTTTCTGTCTGACCGACTTCATTTAGCATGATGCTCTCAAGATCCACCCGTGTTGTTGCAAGTGGCCCTAGTTCATCCTTTTTAATGGCTAGTATCCGCTGTAAACAGGCACCACCGTCTCCATCACACCGGACAGTCCCCTCTCCCTGTTTCCACACCACCCGCGGGAGGGGACCCGAGGGCCGGGGGCTCAGGCTCGAGGTGGGAGGGGAGGGGTGGTGGGGTGCAGAGTGGCTTCCCCAGGGAATAAAGATCTGTCCCTGGGTCCCTGCACCCTGCGACCCCCTTCCCTGGCACGGCCACCCCTCATGACCAATTTCAGGGACAGTGGGGATCTAAGAGCGGCTTCAGCTCCTACTCGGGGCCCCAAGAAAGCACTAAACCCTGACTCCTCACCTTGGCTTCTGACTCTTCACCCCGGGACCCCTGACCCTTAGCTCTGGAGCCCCCAATTTCTTTCCTCTGCGCCCCAGCTGCTTCCCCCGGGCGGCCACTGGTTGCCGGGGAGAACCTGCCACCTGAGGTCTGACGGGGAGCCGGGCAGGGCGGCGCGGGGCTGGGCGGGGTGAGGCCCCTCCTTG